GCTGCTATGCAGGGCTCCATTTCTGAGGTGGGTACGGTTGATGATATAAATCCTGCATGACCCATAAAAAGGAATATACCATAATTCCCATAGTTTAAAGTCCTTAAGGTCACGCAGGCTTTATATCATCAACAGGTAGCTCTGAAACAGTAGACGTACGTACGTGAACCCTTGCGCAAAAGGTATTTCTGCGTTACATGTGCCGTGAGTACCCTCCGCAGTCAACCCTTGTTCGCTTTGCCGGTTTTAGTCCTGCTTGCTCAATTTCCCAAGGGACGAGGTATAGTTCCTAACTGGAGCCGGCTGGTAAACAGCAAGCATTTCAGGCTCCCATTGAAGAAGGTGCAGTCAGCCCGTCAGGAGTGGCCGCGAGACTACTCGTGCCCTGCAGTCTATCTACCTGTTCCGAAAATCCGTGCTACCCTGAACCGAACCCTACACCCTAAACCCTAAACTCTAAACCCTAAACTCTAAACCCTAAACCCTAAACCCTAAACCCTAAACCCTAAACCCTAAACCCTAAACCCTAAACCCTAAACCCTAAACCCTAAACCCTAAACCCTAAACCCTAAGCCCTAAACCCGAAAGCCCTAAAAGTTGTAAGTATCCATGTACCAAGGAGCCCCCACTCCCGGAAAGCTAAACTCCAGGTCTTCTGGCTACGGCTTGCAATCAAAACGGCCCACATAATGGTAGTAGTAGTAGTAGTAGTAGTAGTAGTAGTAGTAGTAGTAGTAGTAGTAGTAGGAGTAAGAGTAAGAGTAAGAGTAAGAATAATCATCATCGTAATAATAACCATAATTATCACAATAATTATCATAATCGTAGTAATAATAATACCAATAATAGTTGCCTGAATCGAAACTGGTAGGTTTCCAAACCCTTCAGGTTGAGTCCTTGATGCAGCTGCCCCAAGATCCAGATTTGATTAGCGCCGGACAGCAGCCAGCATTGACGATCGCATGTCGGGAAGGTCATGTCAAAGTCGTGCGCTTGCTGTTAGAGGCCGGTGCCGACAGAAACTTGGCCGGCAACGACGGCTATACTGCTTTGATGGTGGCATCTGGGAATGGTCACGTCGAAGTCGTGCGAGTGCTGTTAGATTCCGGTGCGGACAGAAACTCAGCCAGGAGCAACGGCTTTACTGCTTTGATGATGGCATCTGGGCAGGGTCGTGTCGAAGTCGTTCGAGTGCTGCTGGATGCCGGTGCCAACAAAAACTCTGCCAGGAACGATGGCTTTACTGCTTTGATGACAGCATCTGGGAGTGGTCACTTCGAAGTCGTTCGAGTGCTGTTGGATGCCGGTGCCAACAAAGACTCGGTCAGCAACAACGGCTTTACTGCTTTGATGACGGCATCTGGGGATGGTCACGTCGAAGTCGTGCGAGAGCTGTTAGAAGCCGGTGCGGACAAGGACTCGGCCAGCAACAACGGCTTTACTGCTTTGATGGTGGCATCTGGGAATGGTCACGTCGAAGTCGTGCGAGTGCTGTTAGATGCCGGTGCGGACAAAAACTTAGCCAGGAACGATGGCTTCACCGCTTTGATGATGGCATCTGGGCAGGGTCATGTCGAAGTCGTTCGAGTGCTGCTGGATGCCGGTGCCAACAAAAACTCGGTCAGCAACACCGGCTTTACTGCTTTGATGATGGCATGTATGAATGGTCATGTCGAAGTCGTGCGCAGGCTTTTGGATGCCGGTGCGGACAAGGACTCGGCCAGCAACGATGGCTTGACTGCTTTGATGGTGGCATCTGGGCTAGGTCATGTCGAAGTTGTTCGAGTGCTGCTAGATGCCGGTGCGGACAGAACTTAGCCAGGAACGATGGCTTCCCTGCTTTGATGATGGGGTCATGTCGAAGTCGTTCGAGTGCTGTTGGATGCCGGTGCCAACCAAAAAACACTCAGGCGGCGGTGGAGGGCTCAAGGCTTTAACGCTGACCTTCTAGTACGGCTAAGTCGAAGTCGTGCTCATGCTTTTGCCCCCGCTCCCCCATCCACCCTCCCCCACCCCCTAACCCCCGGCTGGACCATGGCTTCCTGCTCTGGCCGCTGGACAAGGTCACATCGACGTCGTGCGCTTGCTCTGCGACTGCACATGGAGTGGAAGCGCTGAGACCCGACTTCCAAATCTCAACTTACAACTTTCCTAGGGAGTCGATAGTCCTATTAGATGAAGTTCTGTGCGTGGGCATGTAAATATAAATCAAGAGCTATATATGTTTATGTATACATATATGTATATATATATATATATATATATGTATATATACATATATAATATAATCACACACACATTCACATACATATATACACAAGAACACACACATATATATATATATATATATATATATATGTGTATATATACACACATATGTACGTATACACACAACAACATAGATACACGCACACACACACACGCTCATATGCATATATATATATATATATATGTGTATACATATGTGTATATATACACATGCATCTGCATGTATGTATGCATGCATGTATGTATGTATGTATGTATGTACACATGTATGTCTATGTATATGTATATGTATATGTATATGTATATGTATATGTATATGTGTATGTATATGTATATGTACTTGTATTTGTATTTGTGTATGTATGTATGTATGTATGTATGTATGTATATATATATATATATCCCAAACCGCAATCCAACTATGGCAAAACCCCCACTGCGCATTGGGCTCTGGGCGTGAGCTGCCGAGTTCGCTCGAGCATCGCTCCGGTACAAAATCGGGACACCAGTGCTCTAGATCTCCCTGTCCTTGCCTCTGCGACATGTTTAGGAGTTTCCGAAACTTAGGGGTACCTTATTGGTTTGTTGAGTTTAGGGTTTGTGGCTTAAAGTTTGATGTCGCTTATGCCATCACTACGAAAACGGTGCTGTAAGAATTAGCAATACTAGCTGTTTGGGGTATTGGTTTTAGGAATGGTTGGTTACTGTTCCTTCAACCCTGTGAAAAAATCGTACTGTGCCCAAGCACCCAGTAACCCAATGTGCAGGCGAATGAGGACGACAGTCGTCAAAATCTCTCCCATGGAGCCACGCACGGGTAATACCTGAGGTCTGCGATATAAATCCTAAACCCCTGGACCCTCGACCGTAAATCCTGAACACTAAGCTTTCAGGGTCTGGTTCAGGATTCAGGGTTTAAGGGCTTAACGGGCGAAGATGAGTCTTCCATGCTGAACCTGGCTACGAAACCTTGGGTTTAAATCGTGCTCGGGCTCTCAATCTGGATGTAGTGATACTGTTGATGATCTAAATCCTGCCCTACCTTACTTGGAGGGTCGGGGGACTTAGTAACTGGTTATTTTTAGGGACTTATAAGTACCATAACCCCAATTAGGATCCCTTTTGGGGTACTTATAAGTCTACTTACGACCTACTTACTAAGTCCCCCGACCCTCCAAGTAACGACCCTAAACTGTGGGAGTTATGGTATTCCCTATTATGGGTAATGCAGGCTTTATATCATCACCAGTATTGGAGTTAGTATGAAGGCTTTCAAAGTTACAAATGCTATTCCAGGGTTGTTGAGTTCTGGCGTAAGTGTGAACAGTCCTCTAAGCTCAGCACCTTCCGAGGAACAGGGTTTTTCCAGTCTGCCACATCACCGTTATGCGATGCGGTGTCCGTGTTTTGCTCGTGTAGACGATCACTGAAGCAGGTAAAGTTGAAACATGTCAAGTTGAGCAGTCAACAAGCATTGTAGGTGCCTTATCAGGAGCCCACCCCAACGTGAACCCCTGACTCAGGACAAGCGACACTCCCTATGAAAGCCCTACAAAAAAAAACAGGATATACTACTTTATGATAAAGCCCGTTAAAATTTTATAGCTTATAACTTCCTATAGCACCACCATCTAAAGCCCTTAAAACCTTGAACCCTCATCCGAAACCCTTTCTGAAACCATCCTTTGGAGCACCCTAAATGGACCCCAAACTCCAAAAACCTTTCACCCTACACCCTTACGGAACCTTAAACCTATAGAACCCCTATAGTTCCCCTTTAAAGGAAGCCTCTAGAACCCCTATAGTACCTTTCGAAGGAAACCTATGGAACTCAAACCCCTGTAGTACACGTTTAAAGGAACCCCTATAGAACCCCTATAGTACCTTTAAAGGAACACTCTATAGAAGCCTTATAGTACCCTTTAAAGGAACACTCAAACGAACCCTAAACCCTAAACCCCATAAACCCCTAAATCCCTAAACCCCAAAACCCCTAAAGCCCTAAACCCCTAAACCCTCAACCCCTAAACCCCTAAACCCACCCCCAAGCCCTAAACCCCTGAACCCCTAAACCCTAAACCCCGAAAGCCCTAAACCCCTAAAGCCCTAAACCCCTGAAGCCCTAAACCCCTAAACCCACCCAAAAAGCGGCCATGAAGTTTCTAGCACCCTTTTAAAGGAGCCCCTATAGAACCCTATAGAATCCAAAGAACAGATAGGAGTCCTCAAGAGTCCCAGTTCCAGGATAAAGATGGTACACTTCTCGATTTGTGCTCGATAAAGATTGGAGGTCTCCAGGCCTTCGCCACTCACCGGTGGCCCATGAACCCTCGCACGCTCCTAACCTTTTCGCAACACAGCAACGAAAGTACGTAGGTCCTAGCAAACGTGCGATTACGCACTTGTCTAGTTGACGCTACCTTGAAAGACTTACGCTGTGTAAAAGTCGTGACCCAAGGCATACATTCCGAAGCCAAGCCTACGGGCCAAACGCAGCGAAAGACACAAGTCTGAAAACTCAAGAGGGGTCCTAGGGGCAGAATTCTACACTCCTCCTTGCGACTTTCACGCGAGTGGAGGTTCGCACTTTACATGAATTCCGCCCGCCCCTTATTTTGGAGAAATCAATGCCTTCACCAGACAACCCCTAACCACGAACGAACGAAGAACGTGTGCCGTCAGGCAAGTGCACACGGGTCTTAGGGGGGTCTCGGGCCTAAACCTTCTAAACCCTAGGGGCGAAGGTTCGCCCTTGCAAGGCACTGCCGGCAGAAGGTGCGCTCCTGCCTGTACCCCGGTGTTCCGAGGGTCCCGCAGTCGTTGAAGAGGTGGACAACTCCGCCTCTTTGCATGGTAGTCATCACCGCTCCCGGGTTTACACCGGTGGGTGGCATCAACACTTGGTGTTGAGCATCGGGGTCCGTCTGGACTCCTTGGCTCCGCCTCGTGATCCTGCCTCCATCTAAAACCTCAGTCTGAGAAAACCTCGAGACCTGCAGCAGGGTCGTGGTTGTAGTAGATGAAGTCGCGGTAGAGTGCCCTTGGGCGCTCGGAGGCTGGGAGGTTGGTCTCCCCCTTCGCTTGATCGGCTGATCTGAGGAGGACGGAGTAGACGAAGTCACCTCCTTGTCGAGGGCTTCTCGCACGGCCTTTTCAAGACGGTCTTTCTTCCTCAGAGCCCGGATGGAGGGCGACGGGGGTCCTCGGCAGGACCTACTTACAACCTTAATCCCTTCCCAAAGGCCTACTATGGCTATGATCACAACAACCAGGGCCACATAGAGCGAGAGGTCGCTCGTCACACCTTGGAAGTCCTCCTCCTCCTCACCTTGGCCTGAGCCTGGCATGACCTGTGCAAAGGCAGTGAGCGCTGTGAGCCACTTGCTCAAGGCTCCTCCGCATCCAGACAACACCTCAACCTTCCCAACAGAAGGAGGCTCAGCTTCATCACTCAAGCCTACAAGGAGGGACAGCTCGTGAAGCCTAGGCCCTGCAAGGGGCTTCGTAAGGAGATCAGCACACTGCACGTCCCCCGGGCAGTGCTCTAAAGTCATTGAGGACCCTAGCTGCTGCGTGAGCGCGGCGGCTCTGACCTGAAGGTGTCTTGTCCTCTGACTGGACCCGCCCTCGGCGAGGGCTATAGCGGAAGTGGAATCGCACAGCAGCGCGAGGGAAGGAGGCTCATCGGTGATGTCCCGCAGGACAGCCTGCAGCGACTGTCCATAGATGGCACCCTCACTTAGCGCCTGCAACTCTGCTTCTGCTGACGAAATCGCAATCAGCGGAAGTTTTGACGCCTTCCATTGGATCGTCGATCCCATATACTTGATCAGGATCCCTCCCTGACTGTGTTTTCCGGTCGGCGCGAAGGAAGCGTCAGTGAAAACTTCGAGTCCCTTTTCGGCCTCTGGCACCAAGCGGAGATGCCTATCCCTTGTCAGGGAGAGGTACCTGAACACTCTTTGTGCGACGTCGCACACATGTCGCGGGCGGCCTATGGTGTGCGATGCCATGTATTGCACCACAAAGGAGACGTCGGGACGACTCTTCTGAGCTAGCCACAGGAGCTCGCCGGTGAGGCGTTGCGCCTCCCTTAGAGACGTTGGGTAACTTACGTCCTCAGGATCTTCCAAGTCACCATCTGACAGCAACTCCTTTGGGCAGGGGATGTTACTGCCTCTGCCCTGAAACCCATTCTTGGCGAGGAGCTCATCTATGTAGGACCTCTGGTCAAGCGCGAACCCGGGCTCATTTTCCAAAGGGCTTATTCCTACACCTAAGAACTTAAGGGGGTTCTGTCGGGTGGCCTCCTGGAGGGGATCCAACTCCCAGTTCAGCTGGGTGCACATTGCCTCGTAGAGGGCTTTCGCCACAGGATCGCTCGACAGGATGAGGAAGTCATCAACGTAGCACACCAAAAGTCCTTCCAGCTCACCATTGGGACCCCTTATCTTAAAGACGTTCCCTTCAGTGCTACCCTGTTCCAAGCGGTAAGGCTCAAGGTTGCCAGTCTCGGCATTGCGCAGCTGGAAGGTGAGGCCTGTAAGCGCAGCATTTCTGTAGTCTGTCCACCACCTCGGACTCTCCCTCAAGCCATACAAGGCGCGGTTTATTTCCCATATCTCCCCATCGGAGATGAGATTTAACGCCTTGAGGATTGCCGGTGGCTGCAACAGGTACCTGCGGGTGGTACCTAACGGCGCTAGCAGGAAGGCAGTATGCACGTCAGTGCCGAACGCTTTCCACCGCCTACTGGCTCCTTTCAGGAGTGCAGCGCGCAGGACGTCGCCTGCGACGCCTGCAGCATAGACGTCGCCGGTGTCGGTGTATCGGGACTCATTCCCGCACGCTACGATCCTCGCCTTCCTTCTGAAAGCCTGCTTCGGCCCATCTGGCCGGTATTTGCCGGGCTTGACCGTATACACTCCCTTGGAGTGCAGGGTGACGGCCTCGGGATCCGATAGGAGCTTCTGGGCCTCGGCTCCCTTTCTCCGGATGATGGCTCCCTTTTCCTCAAGGCACCTGAGCTCTTCAAGCAACGCGGCCCTCCACCGCTCAGCGTGCTTCCGGGCTTCGGCTGGGGAAACTGTGTAGGTGGTTTCCAGAGAGCTATCTCCCAGTGCCTCAAGCTTAGCTTCTACATCCTTGGTGTAAACCTCTATCTTGTTTACCTCCGGATCCTCATGCCCTTGACGTCCAAGGGAAGGCCGGCACTCTGATTGTGGAGCAACAGAGGCCGGAAGCAACAGCGAAGAGGGGATTAGAACCGCGGGGTCTAGCCTATACACCGGAATGGTGGGACTGGCAGGTGAAGAACTCGGCTCACCGCTAGGCCTCATTTCATCTGAGGAACCTGTTCCTTCAGATCGGGAAGGGGAGGCGGTCGTAGGACTCAGTGCACGGACATACGGATGGGGGCCCCTGGAGCTGGAAGACTGAGTGGACCCGGTCGCGGGACCCCTTCGTCCTTGGTTGCTCTCAGAGCCGTGCAGCAGCGGGATGCTCGAGAAGTAGTAGGCTCCTCCAGCCCCTTCGTACGACGCCCGGTGGCGTCGGTCCCCCCTTCGGAGAACTCTGGACATCATCTCAACATCCGCAACGGTCTGGGGAGTTTGGGAAGCCCGCATGAGGCATCTCACAAAGAAGAACTGATCCCCTAAGTAGTTGCCTTCCCTATCTACATCTTCCGTCGTCCTCTTTAGCCTAAACCCAATGTGGTACTCCTGGGGACTACGGGAGTCGGCATACAGGTCCCTGACCTGACCCAGTAGTTCTACCACAGGGACTGGTTCCTCCGGCTCGGAAGGGCCGTGGTCTCTCGGATCACCGAGATACTCTCGGAGAATCATGTCTCCGTTGTGGATCCCACTCTGAATGACACCACTGGTCACTGCTGCCACAGCCAATCTCTCATGAGTTTCATTGGCCCTAAACATCGTCTGAGTGGCTTCATCAATGACGTGCCCTCCTCGGAAGAACTCACCTTGAGTGGCGCGCTCCCAGTCCTCCCTTCCCCTGTTTCCTCGCAAGTACCCGCGGAAGGTCTCCTCCGACACCAAGGTAAACTCATATTGTCCCCTCCACGTGTCGGGTTCTCTTGCAAGGGGAATGGCCTCAACCTTCCTAATCTCGGGCCTATTAACCCTAAGGGCTGGCTCGCCCTCCTCTCCGGCAGTGATGTCCCCGGGTAACACGAAACCCAATTCCCGGAGCTTGCCCCTTTGGTCCTCACTAAGGAACTCTATCCTAGAAACCGTATACCCAACCAGGATCACTCTTCTGCCTGCCCACGGCTCGGTGAGGTGGAACTTCGAATGGGCCTGGAGGGTCTGGGGTCCCGTTGCAACATCAAGCAGTCGGCCCGCGGTGGGCTTGCCCTTGACATCCCTCAAAACATTTCCGAACTCATTTTCCTCCCACACTGCGCCACCTTCAAACCTGGTCAAAGGCAAGATCAAGTTTGGAGTTGCCTCATTTCTGGAGTCCCGGTGTGGGGGTGCCATCACCTCCTCTAGAACTGCCGCCGAGGAAAAGCACATGTGGGGAAAGGCTCTCCGGAGAAGCCTGGTAAGGCACTTGATGGCAAGCGGGTTCTCCGCACAAGACCTTCTCAAGGAGGAGATCCCTCCTCTGCACATAGCACCACAGTAGAATGCGCGGCCCCCTTCCCCTGACGTCTGATCCCCGGCCAGGGCAGGATGAGGGGTCTCATAAGGAAGCCGTCGCACCATCTGCTCGACCCCTTGTGTTGAGATCCCTGGTCCGAGCTCCAGCAGTGCTGACGCGAGCTCTTCAGAAGCAGCTTCCAGGGCAGGCTCTTGCTCAGGAGGCAATAACCCAAAGCTATCCTTCCTAAACCTGGCAAACTTCCGGAGCATCAGACGGCCTACAACCGGAGTGACCCCATTAGGGTTGCAACTCATTCTCGACCTGGTGGTCTGAAAGACATTCTGGGCATACTCCTCATCATTCGGTTCCATCGTTAGGTCGGCGTCATGTGCCTCCTCCTCTACACGGGAGAGGAGGTCTCTAGAGATGGGCTGATTGGCGATCACTTCATCATAGAATCTCGCCGGAAGCTGGTCCAGGATAGGACGGGTGATGCGGGGGTTGTGACGGGGCTCGGGAGGCTCCGTTGAGCCCGCAGTGGCTCCTGCATCTGAGCCTGGCGCACGTGGTTGCACGCGGAGGGCTTCCGCCCTTTCCCTTGCTTCCCTGCGAGCACGGGCCTTAGCACCCATAGTACGAGGAAACTCATCTTCCCTCCCTATCAACCCAACTTGACCCTCAACATACCCGGCGCTTCTTGGGTTCTCGGAACGCTGGGCTGGGGCAATCAGGCCGCATTCATGGAGGAACACAGTAGCCTCGTGATCAGTCCAGCCTTCCTCAACAAGGTCTGTTCTGAAGACGTAGTTCAGATCGCCTACCTCATGGACTCCCAAATCATAGAGGCCCTGGGCTCTGGACTCAAGGCTGAGCCTCACAAGAGCTCGGATGATCACCGGATCCTGGATGGATCCCAAGCTGCGAGGGAACTGTTGCCCTGACGAGGAGGAGGATCCCAAGGATGAGATCTGACCCTCAGATATGGTGTTGGCCTCTACATCCGTCACCTCATCCGGTTCTTCGCTCTCCTCCTCACTTTCTTCATCCTCTTCTTCTTCTGGCTCCTGCTCCCGGAGAGCAGCAAGGCGTGGCCTCGGCCTCAACCTTGGACCCTTTCCCTTTAGACGGCTAGGTGGAGGGAGTTCGGAGTCTGCGGGTCCAGGGTCTATCACTCCTACGCCTGCTCCTATCACCTCCTTTAATGATCCCGTGGGCTCCCGGCCATCGGGGCCAAAGAGTTCCGGAAACAACTCCTCCTGGCCTCCTTCCGAAAGGGACGCATCTGCAGCTACCTCCGCTGCCTCCTTTAGCTCCTCATCCCGCTGTCTTACCAAGGCCTCAGGGTCAACTAAATCATCCCTGAAATTCTTCACAACCGTGGTATTGCCATCCGGTCTGAGGATAGAGTGTCCTCCAGGCACAAGGATGGACGGGGAGAGGTATCGACCTTCAGACCAATGGTCCCAGGGCTTGAAGTTGCCAGGCAACATCGGCCTTTTGAACACTATCCTTTTCCCAAAGTGGGGGAGCGGAGTGTCTCCTATAAGGGAGGCCTGGTGTGAGGCGGTGGCATGAGACATAGCGTAGGGCCAGAAGCTTGGCTCGAGCTCGGCACTGTTCAGCAGGCAACGGGCTCTTTGCTTACACCACCCTACTATGCGTTCTGCCAGGCCATTGGCCTTTTTATCATGAGCTTCGCTCATGGTGACGCGCACTCCCATTTTGGACAACCACAGCCTCAAGCTGTCGCTCAAGAATTCCCGGCCCTGGTCGGAGTGAACATTCTTCACTGGGAAGCCTAATTTGTTTATCTCCTGAACCATGGAGTGGATGGCCGGCATGAGGGAAGGGCCCTTGCGGGAGGTCATTGGCCTAACAAACCGAAGCACGACCTGGGGAACTGGGTCTTTGAGGGTTTCTATGGCCTGTTGGAGGGTCTCCCCAGAGTGGGACTCGGCCTCCAGCTCAACGCTCACGAGAGATTCCTCAGGCCCCCTTTCGGACTGGTCCCATTCTTCCTCGCGCATCTCCTCCTCCTGCCCTTCTTGGATCGGAAGCAAAGGGTCCGACGGCGCCGGCTCGGGCTCGGCCCCCTTCAACTCACCACCAAGGTACTCATTCGCGGAAGCCAACTCAAGCGTGGTGTCCCTGAACAAATCCTTCAGGTCCTTCTTAGGATCCCATCTTCTCCGAAGGACGTCCTCAGGCACTCTGTACGCCCCCACAAGGGCATATTTGTGCCTTGGCTGGGCTGCAACTGAGTCTTCAAAGATTCCCTTCTGGATGGGCCCCAGGACATCTAGTGAAAGGGAGAACGAGGTTGGATGGGCCACCTTGCGGTGCTGCAGTCCTACCCCTGACCCCATAACGCAGGCCTTGCACTTCCTGTTGAACGGGAGGTGTCCGCTCTCGATGTGGCGTCTCCACCCTTCGACATCTAGCGCGGCCGCGGTCGGTACCGCTTGCTTAACACCTTGGGCCTCTGGAACCTGGCCACCTGAAGCAATTGAGGGCCTGATTAGGCGGAGTGACTCACGCACCTCTTGATCGATCCTTCTCAACTCCTCCTCGGAGACCGGTTGCGGCCGTTGTGGCTGAAAGGATTGCACGACCCTTTCCGGGAGAACGGAACGGTTCTCACATGTCTCGACCAAATCGGTCCGGCAGTTTGTGAACACAGTCACGGCTCCTCTTATCGCAGAGGCTTGCTTTAAGTGGGCCCAACGCTGGAACTTCGGCCACCACTCATCCTTGAAGAGCTTAGCGGAGTGCGAAAGGGTCATTAAGGGAACCGTATAACCCCTACCGGCGGAGGCCACTGCCCACAACCATGAAACCTGGACCAGAAGCTCGGATCGAGAGGCGAGGTCCGCTGACAGACCGATGATCCTTCCATGAAGGGCTGCCCAGGCAAGGGAGGCTCTCAGGGGAGATCCTGGCTCAAGGTTGTTATGGGGCTTGGACAAGTCGATGTGAAGCACTTGAGCATCGGGGCACGCCGAGAGCACATTCTCACTGACCGCCGCTGGCTCCTTCCCGAATTGAAGGTTCACAAACCAATCCTTGGACTGCTCCAGTGCTCGCCGGCGGCGCCGGGGAAGTGACAAGCCTTTCAGGGTGTGCCGGAGCTCGCGTTCCTCCCTGGGGATTGTGGTAGCTATGGACTGGAGGTGGTGGTGCTCAAAAACACCGCACGAAAGGGCCGTCTGCATCACATCTGCTCGCGTACCTTCCTCCTTAGCCCTATCTACCGCCTTAACCAGCGGCACCTTGGAAGTGAGGGCTCGGAGCACGGCCTCCGTCTCATCCACTTGCCCGCGTAGTTTCTCAAGGCGTCGCTCCTCGAGTTGTTGGATCAACTCTAGAGCACGGGCCTCGGCGAGGACTGGACACCCCTGCTTAATCTTCACCCTCAGCTTCCCAAACACCGGATGCTTAACCACTAACCGCGTAGGGGTCCAGTTGACACTACAACCCAGAAGTCGCACTAAGCTCCCGAGGGGCACTATGGGCTGCGAGGGACCATTGGTTAGGATCGTCCCACCCGGGTTTTGGAGCAGGACTGGGTAGCTCCTCCCGCCAAAACAACCTCCGTTGCAGTGAGATCCTGGTCTCTTTCCTCGCGCGCACGAACAGCATGCGTCGCACCGCTGTCCAACAAGCCCACCTGCTCGTCGGGGTCTGCCTCCTCCAGCGGACCTTCCTCCTCCAAGGGCATGGCCAAGCTTGCAATGGCCTTGATCGAAGGCTTCTCAGAAGTCTGCTGGACCTCTGGGATGGCCTGCCGAATGGCATCCAAGTGACTCTGGAGAGTGGCCACCGTCACAGGGGTTCCTTGAAGCACTGGAGCCGCCTTTGGTGTTGCTGCCTCCGCCCTCGGTGCAACGGGTGGATCCCTCACCTGGCTCCCTGGCGCTTGTATGGCCTTCAAAACCTTCGCCGCATCATCCAAGAGGGCCTGGACCTGGCTCGAATTGGCGTCTTGAGCGGTTGCAACCTGGGCCGCCACTGCTGCTGCCTTGGGCCTCTCGGGTTTGTCAGCTCTTCGAGGGGGAGCTGGGTTCGGAGCCTTCGGCGGGCCTGAACCTCCTGAAGCATGCGGGCATGACGCCTTTTGGTGGCCGGTGCCACCACACGACATACACCTGGACTTCTTATCCTTACTGGGGATGTCTTGCCAATTGTGGGCGTTGCGGCACTTATCACCCCTGTTACACCCAATGCCTTGGACATAGAACCTGCAGGCACCTTGAGGGACAGTGATTGTGGTGTCTGCTGTCCGGCCTCCAGAGGACTCTGACTTCCCAGAGCCTTTTCCTTGGGAAACCGATGATGCCCTTGGGTTTGCAGCTGGCACCTCAGGAACATTCACTGCGGCTGCAGAGGGAGTCGCCTTCGGCTTCAAGGTCTGAGTCCTAGCTAGGCCTTCCACCTCAGAGAGCAAGGCCGCATGGAGCTGGTGGACCACTGCGACGGTAGGGGCCGTCTCAGCTCTCAGGGCTGCCTTCACAAGTCCCATTCTAAACTGCACCTCAGCATTGCCCTCCAGCACAGTCTTCACTATGTTCAGCAGTGCTTTGATAAGGATCACCGGGTCGGGCAACGAACCTCCAAGGGCCTCGGTCCTAGAGAGCCACCGTCTCCATTGGCGGAGCGCATCCAGAGCGGCCTGGGGAGTGGTAGCGGAGCTCGTGTGCTGGAGGCTGCGCAGGGCGTGCTCCCTCTCTTGTACACCTCCCGGGGCGTACAGCACATGAAGGCGGTAGAGAAGGTGAAGTGGAGACTTGAGTCGGCTCTGGACCAACTCTTCGCGCACCTGCTTCGGAGCTGCCGTGATCAAAAGAGCCTCCAAGCGCTTGGCGAGTCTGGACCAAACCGGGGACTTAAGCTCCGGGGTTTCCACTGGATTCAGTGAAATCCTGCCCATGGGGTCACTAGCTAGGTACCTTCGGTAAACCTCTTCGGCCTCTCGCGTGAGAAGGGCCCAGTACTGAGCACTCGTGGCTGACATGTCCTCGACCAGTGGGGCGACTAGGTGAAGCCAGTCCGAAAACGCAAGGGAGGACTCAGGTCCTAGCTCTGGAAGCTTCGGAAGCTCCGACCAAGAGTGTTTCACCTGTTCCGCCTTCCCTTCAGTCGGAGACGAACTTCCGTTCTGCTGAGACACCAAAGCCTGGAGACCTGCCAGAATGCCAGCTGCATCTGGAGAGAGACCTGACGATCCAAGTCCTTGATTGACTCCACTGGCATCCCACGCTCTCTGGAACAAGCCATGCCAAGGCCACTGTTGCTGGGCACTCGAGGCCTCAGCGGAGGAACCTGGTGGCACACCTGAAGCCTGCGGAAGTGCACCTGTGTGCAACATCTGACCTGACTGCACACCTGAAGCCTGCGGAAGTGCTCCTTGCATCGGTGGACCTGACTGCACACCTGAAGCCTGCGGAAGTGCACCTTGCATCAGTGGACCTGACTGCACACCTGAAGCCTGCGGTAGTGCACCTTGCATCAGAAAGCCTGACTGCACACCTGAAGCCTGCGGAAGTGCACCTTGCATCGGCACGCCTGACTGCACACCTGAAGCCTGCGGTAGTGCACCTTGCATCGGCACACCTGACTGCGCCCCTGAAGCCTGTGGTAGTGCACCTTGCATCGGCACACCTGACTGCACGCCTGAAGCCTGTGGTAGTGCACCTTGCATCAGCACGCCTGACTGCACACCTGAAGCCTGTGGTAGTGCACCTTGCATCAGCACGCCTGACTGCACACCTGAAGCCTGTGGTAGTGCACCTTGCATTGGCACCTGACCTGAATGCACACCTGCCGCTTGCATGCCCCCGAGGTCACAGGGTGACCCGTGCCCTGAAGAAGGACCTGGGCATCTCCTGAGGCCTGCGGTCCAAGAGGATTCGTGCCAGGACTTACGGGGTTAGGGTTTCTCGGCACGAACGACGGGAACGCACCCTGCCCTAAACCAAACCACTCCATCACCTTCGCGGCCTGATTTCCCCAACCCGCACCAGAGGATTCTACCTGTACAGGCCTTCGGCCCTCAAACAGCAGAGACCTATTCCTCAAGGCTTCATTCTCTGCTGCCAATGCTCTCATCTGAAGTGCATGCTCCCTCCGAACAAGCTCAAGCTGCCGATGAACCTCTGCCTGAATCTCCCCAGCGCTGAACCCAGAAGAGTCCGATCTGGCTGCTCCTGAAGTCATAGGGATCCCGCCTCCATACAAGTGAGGGGCTTCCCTTTCCAGTTGCGCCAGCCGGAAGTTGGCTTCCGGTCCAAACAGCTGTGGTTGTCCTTGGACCTGAATCATCTGAGCAACCTGAGCAGTGTCTTGCGGCGTCGTCCTTCCAGCTGAATAAAAAACATCCCTGCCAGAGGAACTTCCCGAATCCGCAGCAGCACCGCTCGGAGGGGCCTCTGTACTCATGCCACTGGTGGCCTGAGGCATATCCGTCTGGCCCACTACAGGCCCTTCCACAACGACATCCGGAACTTCGGTCTGACCCTCCTGAACTGAACCTTCAACAGCCCTTCCAGAGAAGCTCCCCGAAGTAGACGTCACTGCTGCCTGAACAGCCCCATAGCCACTCAGCAGCCCTGCATTCCCAGAGCTCTCTGCAAGTCTCTCACTTGCCTGAGCCCCTTCCATGCTCCCAGAGTTCCGCGAGGGAGCGTCTTGGGAACTCATAACCTATAGAATCCAAAGAACAGATAGGAGTCCTCAAGAGTCCCAGTTCCAGGATAAAGATGGTACACTTCTCGATTTGTGCTCGATAAAGATTGGAGGTCTCCAGGCCTTCGCCACTCACCGGTGGCCCATGAACCCTCGCACGCTCCTAACCTTTTCGCAACACAGCAACGAAAGTACGTAGGTCCTAGCAAACGTGCGATTACGCACTTGTCTAGTTGACGCTACCTTGAAAGACTTACGCTGTGTAAAAGTCGTGACCCAAGGCATACATTCCGAAGCCAAGCCTACGGGCCAAACGCAGCGAAAGACACAAGTCTGAAAACTCAAGAGGGGTCCTAGGGGCAGAATTCTACAAACCCCTATAGTAAACCCTCGACCTCTCGCCCCCTTTAAAGGATCCCTTATAGATCCGTTTGAAGGAGCCCCTATAGCAACCCTAAGCCCCCCCAAAAAAGCGGCGATGAAGTTTCTAGTACCCTTTTAAAGGAGCCCCTATACGGTTGATGATATAAGCCCTGCAATACCTTACGGGCCCAAAACTATGGGAATTATGGTATATTCCTTATTATGGGTAATGCAGGATATATACATATATATACATATATATATATATATATATATATATCATCATCAACCGTAGTACCCTTTAAAGGGGGATCTCGGCCTCATGAAGTTTCTAGTACCCTTTTAAAGGAACCCCTATTGAACCCCCAAAGTACCCTTTTAAAGGAGGTCCTATAGAACCCCTATAGTACCCTTTAAGGGGGGGGATCTCGGCGAGGCCAGGGCTTTCCTGATGCTGGACGGTCCAAACGCCCTGCACATGGCCCCGAGAGCGGTCTTCAGGCAGAGTCGTAAAGTAGTAGTAGTAGTAGTAGTAGTAGTAGTAGTAGTAGTAGTAGTAGTAGTAGTAGTAGTAGTAGTAGTAGTCGTGGTGGTGGTGGTAGTAGTAGTCGTCGTCGTCGTCATTGTGAGGTTTGCGGAGCTAAAGCATGTTTAAGGCTTGAGGTTTCAGGGCTGAGGGCTTCGGGTTAGGGTTTCGGGTGGGCTTCGAGCGGCTCTATATGTTGGTTGTGGGCAGGTTCATAATATAGGTCCCTAGGCTTTCATGGGGATTTGCAAGGGGCTGTGTTTTGTGAGTTTGGACGGTTTCGGGATTTTTGTGTTTCGCAGTTTGGAGGGTTTTGGGATGTTTAGGGTTTGGTTTAAGGTTCTAGAGTGGGCTATAAGGGTTCTGTAAAGTTTGACAACAGCCATATCGGCAGACACCGGCATCATCACCTTCCCTGGCCGATTGCACACCCGACAATTCAAGGCCCTGCGCCCGCGACCCCAAGACGCTAAACCGAAAGCCCTTTAGTGCAAGTCCTAAACCCTATACCCCTGAACCCTAAACCCTGAACCCTAAACCCTGAACCCTAAACCCTGTACCCTATAGCCCATAATGCGAAACCGAGAGGGGCCTCGTGGCGGCGGCGAGTGCTGCCTTCCATCTGGAGGGGCCTCGCACTTACAAGCGCTTAGATTACGATGTCGTAGCATACTTATAGGTCCGGAGGGACTTTATGCCGATTTGTACCCTGTTGTACACAAGTGTACTTCGTGTTTGGAGGGGTCTACCTTGCAATTATGAGATCATAACCTACTAGTTTGTAGGTTTGTGGGGGTTACAGGTAAAGGTAAGATCAAACCAAACCCGAACCTCGAACGTTGTGCACTCAAACCTCAACTCAGTAGATCCGGCTAGATGCTTTTAATCCCTTCCTCAGTCTTCCTACAGTGTGGCAAGTGCGCCGCGGGGTTTCGAATAGCCGGCAGAAGGTCATAGACTTCGAGAGTAGTTGCAAGAAGGCCCTGAATAGAATCCTTATTACGTGAGTGAGGTAGAGTGTTCTGGGATCCATAGATGAACCCAAACCCTAAACCCGAAACCTCTGATTCAATGCATAAGCTATCCCTACGCATTTCTTCCCGGCAACCTCAGAGCCCACGTTGCTCAGGCTTGCTCGTTCTACGGGAATCCGGAGGCATTAGGCCCTTTGAAGCCTAAACCCAAAACACTAGCCAGAGTCTCCATTGTAGTTCCTTTCTCGGTGAACCAATTCCATCTTCTGGGATTCTGACCATAACACTGGTTAATCAAAAACAGTACAACGGGTACGAGCCTAAACCCTAATCCCCTAATCCCCTGAACCCCTAAACCCCTAAACCCCTAAACCCCGAAACCCTGAACCCCTAAACCCCTGAAGCCCTAAACCCCTAAACCCCTCAACCCCTAAACCCCTCAACCCCTAAACCCCTAAACCCTAAACACTGACCCCGAAGCTTCCGAAGTCTAAACGACTAAGCCCCAAGCCCCACAGGACACACCCTAGAAATGTTCGCGAAACCCGGCTCCTTTAAAGGGTACTATAGGGGTTCTAGAGGGCTCCTTTAAAGGGTACTACGGTTGATGGTGTCAATCCTGCATTGCCCATATCAAGAAATATACTCCTTAAGTCATGCAGGATTTATATCATCAACAGTCGTATCTGGAGCAAGTCAAGGGTCAAGGTTCAAACTCTAAACCTCAAACACAAACCACAAGATGCTAAACCTATGAATTCTAGAAGTCTAGCGCGCCGAATCGGAAGCCTAAAGCTTAAACCCCTGAAGAAGCCCCATGCCACCAACAGCTTCGTCCAAGCAACAACCAAGATCCTTCAAATACGCATAATATAGAGGGTCTTTAATATGTACTACCATTATGGAATTAGGTCCCAAAAGACCATCTCTACATAATGGCCGCAATAGATATGGGCGCTCTTGGAAACGCAGAGAACACTCAGGCAACATATGCATCACAACCTACATCCTAAATCCTACCCCCTCCGCCCACAAGTCACACACTAAAGCAACCTTGAGCCTTCCTCGTCGGGCCCGGCGGCCCAGCGAGGCATCATGAGGCTCCATAGTCGCTCTCGGTCAGCTCGGATTACCTCCAGCTCTTCTTCGTCTTCTTCGACTCTCTTTCGGATGGGCAACTACTGCAGGTACGAGATGTGGCATGACCGGACTTGGCCACAGCTCCTCCAACATGACTTGGAGAATGCTAAGAAACTCATGCTGGGCACTGCCAGCAGAGAGGCCAGGGGAAGTCGCAAAGTGCGGACCAACCCTTCTGGCTGGCCGAACATCCGAGAGCCCGTGAGGCAGTCGCCTGCTTTGCACTGCGCATGCCGCTGGAAGACGAGGATGTGCAATTCTTGAATGTGTGAATTGCCTGGACCCCAAAAGTATGTAGAATAATAGCCTTTTGTAGGTTTTGGGCCATCGTTTTACCTACTTTTGGGGGTCTAGGTAGAGCTATGATTAGGGTAACTATACTTATAACTACTTATAACCCCAATTAAGGTAGTTATTTTACCTACTTTGGGGGTCTAGGTGAGCAAAGAAGCTGGCAGCGTATGGGTTGGCCTCCCGAGGTCGGCATGACTCCTTTGTGTTGGCGGCTTCAAAGGGTTTAGGGTTGTGGGTTTAGGGTTTAGGGTTTAGGGTTTAGGGTTTAGGGTTTAGGGTTTAGGGTTTAGGGTTTAGGGTTTAGGGTTTAGGGTTTAGGCCGTGGGGCTCACTGAAGATAAACAATAGACAAGTTTACAGAAGACATATGTAAGTTTCTGGTCTGACAAGAGCTGCCTAAACCCACCAACCTAGACCCTAGGCCTAGGTCTTGAACTTGTAGCATTCCGAAGCCCGGCAACGCAAGGCAACTATCTCATAGTCCCTACCAAAAGACCCTATTGAAAGGTTGAGACCCCTAAAATTACTTCGAGGTTCAGGGGTAGTTATAAGTGGGGCTATAAGTAAGGTAACTATAACTATAACCCGTATTGGGGGACTTATAACTCCACTTGTAACTTCCCATGAACCTCCAAGTAAGCCCACAAATACGTGAAGCCCAGAAACCGCAAGCAACCCTAACCCCTTAAACCCTTAAAGCCATGAATCTCTAATCTAGGAACCTCATGAAGAAAGCCTTGGCCGTAGAACCTAAATACATTGCGGACCCGAAACCCCCTAAACCCTAATCCATATAGAGAGCCCTAATACAGACTCAAGGTTTCTTAATCAAGTTCCTACATGAGAGTTTCCGAATATGTAGGGGTACCTTACTTAGGGGTCCTTATGATAGGGATCCGACTGTTTAGGGTACTGTTTTAGGGTCCACTGTTTTAGGAAACCCCCACATAAGACCACCCGGGACCCTTTATACTAGAACTATAGAAAGGAACCCCAAGGAATAATATTGGTAGCTGTTTAGGATTCCACATTAGACCCTAAACTCCTAAAACTCTGGAAGCCCAGAGACTCTGAGTGGGAATAAAGGCCTGGGCCAATGGCTGCCACACACCTGGCCCTCTCCAAGCTGGCTCGGGCCTTGCTTGGGGGGGTGCAGGGTTTAGGGTTTAGGGTTTGGAGTTTTAGGGTTTAGGGCTTAGGGTTTGGAGTCTTAGGGTTTAGGGTTTAAGGTTTAGGGTTTAGGGTTTAGGGTTTTAGGGTTTAGGGTTGAAGGAGTCTGGAGATGAGGGGTTCCCAGAGAGCCCAATACCCCCGAATTAAGGCATATAGAGCTTAAATCATAAAATGTGAATCCCCTTATAATTTGAGGTATGCTCCTTGATTTTATACAGGGTATTGGGCTCTCTGGGATTTCGGTTTTTAGCGCTGGCTTGTGGTCTTTGGGGCGGAGGACTGTAGGGTTGAGGGGTAGTGCAAGGGCTGCAGAGAGTTCCGTGCAGTGTAGTGACTGTGCCAGGACTCTGTCCGGGTTTACTACGGCAAGGGTTTGGGTTATCTTTTTTTTATAGAGCTTTTGGGGTTATCGGGTCTGTACTTGGTGGTAGGGCCGTAGGCTTGTTGCTAAGGTTTTGATGACTGCGACCATTTTTGTTGAAAGGGCTTTTGGATTTCACAGTGCT